CTTGGTTAAATTTATTCCTAGGTATTTTATTTTTTTGGTGACTATTGTAAATGGGCTTGCTTTCTGGATTTCTTTTTCTGCTCATTGTTGGAGTATAAAAACGCTCCTGATTTTTGAATGTTGGTTTTGTGTCCTGCAACTTTACTGAAATCATTTATCAGCTCTAAGAGTTTTTTGGTAGTCTTTAGGTATTTCTCTGTATAGGATCATCTGCAAACAGGGACAGTTTGACTTCATCTTTTCCAATCTGCATGCCCTTTATTTCTTTCTCTTGCCTGATTGCTCTGGCTAGTACTTCTTTTTTTTTGTCCTTTTTGAGACCGGCCGCACCGTGCTCAGCCAGTGAGCGCTGTGAGCGCACCGGTCATCCCTATATAGGATCCGAACCTGCAGCGGGAGTGCTGCTGCACTCCCAGCACTGCACTCTCCCGAGTGCACCACGGGCTCAGCCCTCTGGCTAGTACTTCTAATACCATGTTAAATAGGGGTGGTAAGAGTGGGCATTCTTGTCTTGTTCTTAAGGGAAAGGCTTTCAGCTTTTCCCCATTCAGGATGATATTGGTGGTGAGTTTGCTGTATATGGCTTTTATTGTGTTGGGATATTTTCCTTCTATACCTAACTTGCTGAGAGTCTTTATCATGAAAGGATGTTGAATTTTGTCAAATGCTTTTTCTGCATCTATTGAGATAATTGTATGGTTTTTGCCCTTGATTTTGTTGATGTGGTGTATCACATTTATTAACTTGCATATATTGAACCATCCTTGCATCCCTGGGATGAATCACACTTGATCATGGTGTATAATTTTTTTGATGTGTTGCTGTATTCTGATTACTAATATTTTGTTTGGGATTTTTGTGTTTATGTTCATCAGAGATATTGGCCTGCAGTTTTCTTTTTTTCTTGTATCTTTGTCAGGTTTTGGTATCAGGGTGATGCTGGCCTCATAGAATGAGTTTGGGAGAATGGCTTCTTTTTTAATATTTTCGAATAGTTTGAAGAGAATTGGTATTAATTCCTCTTTAAAAGTTTGGTATTATTCAGTAGTAAAGACATCTGGTCCTGGGCTTTTCTTTGTTGAGAGACTGCTGATTACTGCTTCAATCTTGTTGCTTGTTATTGGTCTGTTCAGGTTTTCTGTTTCTTCTTGGTTCAGTCTTGATATCTTGTATGTGTCCAGAAATTTATTCATTTCCTCTAGATTTTCAAATTTGTTGGTGTATAATTGTTTATAATAGTCTCTAATAATTCTTTGTATTTCTGTGGTATAGGTTGTAATGCCTCCTCTTTCATTTCTGATTTTTGTTATTTGGGTCTTCTCTCTTCTTTTTGTAGTTAGCCTAGGTAATGGTTTGTCTATTTTGTTTATCTATTCAAAAAAACAACTTTTTATTTCATTGACCTTTTGTACCATTTTGGGGGACTCTGTTTCATTTAGTTCTGCTCTGATATTATTTCTTTTTGTCTAGTAATTTTGGGATTGGATTGTTCTTGTTTTTCTAGTTCTTTGAGGTATAGTGTTAGGTTGTTTATTTGAAATCTTTCTATTCTTTTGATGTAAGCATTTATTGCAATAAACTTCCCTCTTTGTACTGCTTTTGCTGTATCCCACAGGTTTTGGTATGATGTGTTTTTATTTTTATTAGTTTCAAGAAATTTTTTGATTTCCTGTTTAATTTCTTCTTGAACCCATAGGTCCTTCAGGAGCATGTTGTTTAATTTCTGTGTATTTGTGTAGTTTCCAGAGCTTTGCTTGTTATGGATTTCTAGCTTTAATCTGTTGTGGTCTGAAATGATGTTTGTAATGATTTCAATTTTTAAAAATTTGTTGAGACTTGACTTGTGACCTAAAATGTGGTCAGTACTGGAGAATGTTCCATGTGCTGTTGAGAGGAATGTATATTCTTTAGTTGTTGGATGAAAAGTTCTGTAAGTATCTGCCAAATCCAACTGGTCTAAAGTGTAGTTTAAATTCTGTGTTTCTCTGTTGGTTTGTTGCCTACATGATCTGTCCAGTGTTGAGAGAGGTGTGTTCAGATGCCCAACTTAATTGATATATTTTTATTTTTCTAGTGGATTCTATTTATGCTTCATTTTAAATTGATGTTAATTTTTCCTAGGTCCTTGTTATTAAAATTGTGCATGCATTTACCTATAATTCAGAATGTCCAGAATAATTTAAAAGATTCTTACAAAGTATTGATGTTAACATTTTTATTGCAGAAGCTCCTTCAGCTCAAAAATTTTAACACCTTGATGGCTGTGGTGGGAGGCCTTAGTCACAGTTCCATTTCACGCCTCAAAGAGACCCATTCTCATCTTTCTTCAGAAGTTACAAAGGTACAGTGGATTTGATCCTAATCCCAATTTAAAAATCCATTTGTATATTCTTTAGGTTTAGTATACTCCACTTGGTATAGGAAGGCTTTACTCTTAAACCAGTTATAAGTTATACATGGGGACAAAGTATCAAAGGGAGTAACCACACCAGCTGAATTCACCTGGAGAAACAGGTTGGAGGTGGTGATACGTGTCCCAGTAAGAATGCTTTGACATACCATTAACATACTGTAGTTGTAAATATTCAGCAAATATTTATTTGGTGCTTACTGTGTGATAGGCACTGTGATACACACAGAGGGTCCAAGATGAATAAGACTTAAATAGTTCCTACCCTACCCTACTGAAATAAAGTCATCAAATGACTACTCTATTCATAACACTGTGCTTGTATAGAAATCCTCAGATTTATGACGGAGTTGTTAGGAAAGAAAATACATTTAAAAAAAAAAATGATCACTTCCTAAACTAAGCTTTTCTGCCATATTTCTTTCCAGACCACAATAATAATCTTCTTCCTTACTGAGCAAAAAGAAGTATTTCATTCTTATGAAAAGATTCTCTTGAAAGAGTGTACTTTGGGGCCGAGCCCGTGGCACACTTGGGAGAGTGCGGCTCTGGGAGTGCAGCAGCGCTCCCGCAGCGGGTTCGGATCCTATATAGGGATGACCAGTGCGCTCACAGTGCTCAATGGCTGAGTGCGGTGCAGCCGGTCTCAAAAAGGACAAAAAAAAAAAAGAGTGTACTTTGCTATTTTAATAAGGACACTTTCAGCTGTAAGTTGAAAAAGAAAAAGAAAAAAATTCCAAATTTATTAAACCACAAGGAAATGTATTGTCTAATGTACCTGGGAAGTCCAGAGGCAGAGCAGACTCCAGGTGTGGTCTAATCAGAGCTCTTGCTCAGTCACTGTGCCTTCCTCTGAGAATCAGGGTTGGTTGGTTGGTTTCATCAGACTGGCTTCCCTCCTGATTGGGCTGTCTGCAGCAACACGAAAATTTTGCTCCCTTGCCATAAAAATTGGAGATAGATTTCTCGCTTCAGCCCTGCCCCCATGGAATTAAAGACCTTCTTTTTGGACATTGGGTCATCTCCAGTCATATGTCCACCCCTGGACCAATCACAGTTGCCAGAGGAATACAATGTACTGATTGGCTGAACCCTGTGTTCCTGAACCAATCATAAACCAGAGGAAGGGAATTACCATGATGGTAAATCAGAACCCATCTTGGTCCTGGGGAGGAAAGAGCTCCCTCTGAGTCACATGGGCTGCTTTGGGAAAGAGTAGATAGATCAAAATTGGGATCTGTTAGGAAGGTCTGCTTGCTGTTGAGCAACCAACAATAACTTGTCCATATAAACAAGAGGAAGTGAGCTGTACAAAGTACCACTGTCTGACTTTAAACTCTGCACTCATTCCAAGTGTAATGAGATTCATTATGTAAGTGTTTTATTTCCTTTTAGCTTTGTACTAAATTTCAGGTTAAAAGAAAAAGCAAATTTTAAGTGTTGTGAAGCATAAGAATCTGACAGAAGCTCACAGAGGCTTGGAAGCACTGGTGTGTGTCTTTTAAAATTATTTATCTGAATTCCTCTTTCTTATAGAAAAGTAAACTGAGGCCCCCGAAAGTGAAGTGACTTGCTTAAGGTTACCCTTCTAGTTAGTGAGGAGCCCCAAACCACAGCTATCTCACACCTCAGTGTGACTTTCCCTAGCCCATGCTGTCCCAGATTAACCTTCAAGTAATATCTGGAATGCAACTTTCTTGAACAACTGGGAAATTTTAAGATGCTACATGCTTGAATTTGTGGGTTGTAGTATTTTCATGAATTACAAAATACTTAAGTATACATGATGCCATTTAACATCCCAACATCCCTAGTAGGTAGGCAGAGGTGCAGGCTAGTTCCATCTTATAGCAGAATAGAACAGGCTGTCCAACTCATAGCCAAGCCTGGTATGTTTTTTTTTACCTTTCTTTTTCCTGGTTAATGTTCCATGCATCGACGTTGGTGCAATTGATACTTCTCTCAGTAGCTGAAGAATTTCCCAGCCACACATTGCAGGGCCTGGGGGAGAAGAGAAGGGAAGGCTGTTTGAAAATTCTACTTTTCCATCTGTTCCCAGAACTGGAATGAAATGACAGAGTTGGTCTCCTCCAACGGCAATTACTGTAATTACCGCAAGGCCTTTGCCGACTGCGATGGCTTCAAAATCCCCATCCTTGGAGTACACTTGAAAGACTTGATAGCAGTCCATGTCATTTTCCCAGACTGGACAGAGGAGAACAAAGTGAACATTGTGAAAATGCACCAGCTCTCCGTTACCCTGAGTGAACTGGTCTCCCTGCAGAGTGCCTCTCACCACTTAGAACCCAACATGGATTTGATCAACCTGCTCACCGTGAGTGCCAAGGGGCTGAGTTTATGCTAAGTAACTCTTCTGCACCTTACTTTGCGGGGGACATAGAAGACGTGTGCCAGCACACTTTGGGGAAGATTGATTTCAGGGTTAGTAGATGGGAAGAAATCTCAAAGAATGAGGGAAAAGGAACCCCATACCCAGAACCAGCATGATGCGAGACTGTAATCTAAGAGCAAAGAAATTACCTTTGTTTGGAGGGGCCCAGTCTTTGCCCACACAGCTCCCACTCCTGAAGTTTTTAGAGACTCCTCCAAACCCATCCTCAGCCCCCCTCTCCTTTACAACACCTGTTCAACTAATCACCTCCTTCTATGTGTCCCCAAATGGTCTGCTTCTCTTTATCCTCACTGCCCTGCTTTAGTTGAAGCCTGGACTAAATGGAAGGACCTCCCCCGGGATCTCCCTGGCCCACCACCAACTTCCCCAAACCGCCAGGATGTAGTCCCCAGCCTGGCATTTGAGGCCCATCAGGACTCAGTCTCTGACCATCAGTCCTTGTTTGTCATCACCCTCTCCCACGTCACCCAGCCTTTGAGGGATATTGGTCTTCTCGTACTTGCCGCCATGAAATGATGCCACCTGCTTCCTGGCCTTTGTGCATTTCTGGAAAACCCCTTCCCTGCCAGTCCTTGTTTGTCATCACCCTCTCCCACGTCACCCAGCCTTTGAGGGATATTGGTCTTCTTGTACTTGCCACCATGAAATGATGCCACCTGCTTCCTGGCCTTTGTGCATTTCTGGAAAACCCCTTCCCTGCCCATCCACATGGCTAGTTCAAATTCAAAAGCCATTCTGGAGCATTCTCTGTTCCTTTCCAAAGCAGTAAGGCATCTGTCACAGCTGATGCCCTGACACTTTGTGCTTTTCTTAACTGTAGGAGGAATCACTTTGCATTAGATTTTTTTCTGTTTGCCTGCCTTATGCATCACGTCCCTCGCAGTACCTGGCACACATAGGAACTCAACAGATGAACTGAATGCTGTATTTAGGAGTGATGTGGGTCAGACAAAAGAAATTTACTTACCACTCATATTTTTTTGGCATTTGTGGAACACATTTAGTTTGTCTCCGGGTCCTAGAACTTTTAGACACAACAGGTGGGTGGAAGAGAATGCTTCCCATTGGCTGCTCCGATGTGTGGAGGAAGAAGTGTACACAGATCCTCTCATCCTTCTTAAACAATGACAGGCACAATTTCCCTGTTTGGGTGTATAACACTGTAGTATCTGAAACTTAGCTGCAATGGTGAATCAACTATTTTTCCTCTTCTGGGCATGGGAAATGAAATGAATAACTCTTCTTGGGCTCTGAGAACCTGAAGCCCTCAGGACTGCTGCATTAGAATAGGAGTGTGGAAGGTTCCTGGATCTTCTCACAAATGGTTCTTACAACACATAATTGTTTATAAAACAATTGACCCCTAAATGTAGGTGACAATGCCAGCTGCACCCTCAGTCTAAAGCAGAAGTGGCCAACACACAGAAGCATGGATCTCTTGGGGTTGAGGTTGAGTTTTTTGACAAATAGTAAACATACAGACTTTCTCTACTGAAAAAAAAAAAAAAAAAAAAAAAACCAAAAAACCTAACTCACAATAATCAAAGCACCTGCATTTATTAACCATTTGCCATGTAAATCTGTTTCCATGAATGAGTGACCAGAGTTGCAACCCCAGTCAGACTGCAAACCCACAGGCCCAGGTGATGTCTGCAGACCAGTGTTCACATGGCCTGGGTTTCAAGTGTCTGTGTCCAGGCTGCATCCATGATGTCAAGAAGCACTTCACAGAGCATGTGCCCACACCTGGGCAGTTTCTCATCCAGATAAGGATAATAATAGAGTAGGCAAATTAACCTTGAGTTACAAATGCAGCAAGCAACCTTATGATAAACAAATATTTAGAGAAATATTGAAGAATTTTGAATAAAATTTCAGGGATGCACATGGAAAATCTGAACTCTATAAATTATAGCTAACAAATAGTTCCTTTATGCTGGGAAGAAAAGAAAAAGAGTGACCTCGAGGTACTGAAGGAAATTTTAGAAGCCACAAAGCGCCATGTCTAGATAAATTATAGCTAACAAATAGTTCCTTTATGCTGGGAAGAAAAGAAAAAGAGTGACCTCGATGTACTGAAGGAAATTTTAGAAGCCACAAAGCGCCATGTCTAGTAGCTACAGTGTTGCCGGGATGGTGAAGTGGCAAAATCCCATATGGAACATCTTGCTTTAATCCCTGTCTCTGCTGTTTCTTAGCTTTGTCTCCTTGTTAACTAGCTTTGACTTTGGCTTTTTCATAGAGATTTTGTGGTCATTTGTGAGATTTCTTTCAACTGCAAACTTCTATGGTTCTAGATGTAAGGAATGGTAGAGCCCCAAGAATAAGGAATCAAGTGTCAACCTGATTCTGTGGTAGCAGCCCAGTGGCTCATCAGGATAGCACAGCCCTGTATGAGTTACTGAGGGTCAAACCAGTTTCTGTTTGAGGCCAAGATCCTTCCTCTCCACAACCAAATGGGCATAGAAATACCCATTTATTCTTCCTGACCACTGGGAGTTAATCTCCTCAGTATAAGGAGTGTTCACTAGAGCCCAGTGGTCATTTTATGAAGCACGTATGTTTGGATTAGAACCATATGATTGGCTGCACAAACCAGTCAGACACACATTAGCTCGTTTAATCTTCGCCCCCGTCCTGGGAGGGAGCCATTACTTATGATTCCCACTGTACAGGTCAGGAGGCTGAGATTCATGAAGGTTAATTACTGGCCCAAGTTCAGACCATTAAGTAGAAAGCAAAGATTTGGAGACCAAAACATTTCTGTCACTGGGTCAGTAATCTGTCCATTTGACATATGAAAATACCCGAGGATGTTCTGGGTTGTTTTTTTTTTTTTAAAGGGTATGTCTCCCACTGAGTGTGTGCCTTGTTTGGATTTCTGGTTGGATGTTCTGGTGCTGCTGTCATTTCAGCTCTAGCAGCTGCTGGCGCCGTTCACCACAGGACTTAGAGGCTGAGTCAGGAGGAAAGGAACATGCTTGTCCAAGTCCAGATTGACTCTGATGATGAGGAATTCAGAAGGAAGAAGGCACTTAATTTTCTCTCTTTATTTACGTAACCTTCACAGTGCAGGGCTGCAAACTGGGACGGGGGTACAGCGGTGGAAGAGACAGATACGCTGCCTGCTTATGGGGCCTAGAGCCCAGCAGAGTCACCTATTATGGGATTTACAAAACGGTGGGCAACTGCCCACAGCAGATGTGTTTTTTTGGCCCATGTAGAATCATAAAAATCTTTTGTTGCTAGTTGCCAGTGCTTAAAAATTGGGATATTTCATAAAAACACCAGATTTCTGACTTCTCTTGATAAATCAGAAGATCTCGCAACTAGAGGTCCAATGTCAGGCTGACAATTTGCCGTAGCTCAGTAGTGGCTGTCCCCCATCCGTCCCAGACCACGTCCTCCCCTAATGCTTCCCTAACACAGAGAGTTGGTGTCAGATCCTGTTTGTCATCACACATTTTTCTTATTGTGGAGCTAAGAGAAAATATCCATAAGCTGATTACATCTGCAAAGACTCTTTTTTCCTCCTAAGACATTGTGGTACCAATGTTCCTATCAGCATATCCATTTTGTGCATCCCACTTCACTCTTTCCTATAATAGGCTGGCTCCTAAGGACATTTGTTTGTGACATGTAGTTGGTTCCTCTCCTGTGGAAAGGCAGAGCCCCTGGAGGCAGGAGTGATTGCTGTTCATGGAGGATGGATACAATATTTGTTCTTTGTGAGCAGGATTTTTATGATCTGAGATGATGCTCGGGCAATTTTATGGTAAAGTCAATTTTATTTTGCTTAGAAAAAAACTTCAGGTGACACAGTGTAGGTAAAACAATATATGCCCTGATATATGAAGCCCTTAATTTAACTGTTGTATTCAGTAGCTGCTAAAACAGTGACTGGAATAATCCCTGGCACATATTAGATGATCGATTAATATGTGTTGAGTGAATAGATGATTGAAAATGAAATTTTATGATGTAATTTCTTTTTTAAAGGAGGTAGAACAAAAAAATGAAATCCTTGACAAACACCTTTTGCCGCTGAGTTTTCTCTTCTTTCCCTTACCCTTCACTCTCACCCATGCACATTTAGCCTTTATCTCTAGACAGAATATGTTAGAGGACATTTTTCATACCTAAATGGTCAAAGACAGGAGCCAGCACCTGGTTATCTTCATTGCTGATGAAGTGTTGTGATTCACTGTGTGTCCTAGCATGGAGGGACATGGGTGGGAATTGTCCAGGTTTATTTTAAGCCTCATGACTTCTGTTTTTAGGTAAGTGGGAGCATGCATTTTAAGGCTTGACAGGTGGAGGTGAGTGCTAGACCAAAGTGATAGAAACCAGGTTTCTGGAAGCCCCAGCTCAGTGGCCTAGACAACATGCCCACCCCCTCTGGCCTTACCCCATCCTGTGGGCATTAAGTAGGCACCTGCAGCAGGCTCCTGGGTGCCTCATCCCTCATGATTGGGGGGGATGCAGAGGGGGGGACCTCAGGGACCGTCCCCAGAACAGTTGCATTTTCTCAGGATTCTTTTAGCTGGGAACATGCCACGTGACAGGTGAGCAAAGTGTGGCTCCCTGCCCTGGCTCCTCCTGGAGCAGTTCCGGAGCCTCTAAGCCAAAGAGCCCGTTGGCTGTGGTGGGTGGAGGTGAGGGTGTCCCCGTGACAGGTGAGCAAAGTGTGGCTCCCTGCCCTGGCTCCTCCTGGAGCAGTTCCGGAGCCTAAGCCAAAGAGCCCGTTGGCTGTGGTGGGTGGAGGTGAGGGTGTCCCGCTCGACCAGGCCGGCATGGTGTGCTCTGCAGCCCTTCTGGCCGGTGGGCCAGTGTCTGGCCTGGACAGGGCCCCACTGCTGGGGGAGGGGACCTGAGCCCTGAGCAGGTGGTATCTCCCTGTTTACACTTAGCTGCTGTGGAGTCCAGTGCACAGGTCCTGGTACCTCTGTGCCCTCAGCCCAGCTGGTCTTTAAGTGTGTGTTGGGGGTCCTGGCCCCCACCCCCGAGAGGAGGGGCTCGTGCGTCCCTTGTCCCAGACTTCCTCCATCCACACTCCCCACCCCTTGGGAATTGCCGTACAATTTTTTTTTTTTTTTTAAATTTGCGACTTCGTGTTCCTCCCCACGTGGAGTTCTTTTGTTCCTCTCCCTCCAGCCTTCCACTTGGCATTGGCGACTTATTTGTCTGGCTTTTTGGATGTATCTCTCTGTACATTTGTTCTCAGGTGCTCTCGTGGATTCGTGGATATCTTTCAGAAAATGGCTATTTTATATGATTTGCCATGGAATTTGTTTTAATAAATCATTCTTCTGTTACATGGCAGAAAAAAAAAACTTCACCAATTTTATCCACACTTTCCAATCTTGGTTTAAGTTGCTGTGCTTGACCACCCTGACCGTCCTCTCCCTCTTTATTCCTGCAAGTCCTCCCAGTTCAGCCCCAGTTCATAAGTACCTCGGTGAATGTGTCCTGATCATTCAGTCTCCAGTGGCCCCTGTGCATAGTAATAATATTACCAAAACAACTACAATACTAATAACACATCAATACCGCCAAGTAGCATTTCTTGAGTTGTGGACCAGGTCCTGTGCTAAGCATTTGATAGGCATTATTTCATTTGATCCTGATCAAAATCCAATTTAGGAGGGACTTTTATGATCATTCCCATTTTATACAAACTGAGGGTAAGAGAGGAAAGACTTGCTCAAGGCTCAGTGTTTGAACCCAGGCCTGCCTGATTCCAAAACCTCTGTGCTCCTGCATTTACTAAGCTGCCTTCCTGAATGATTCCTGTAGCACTTAAAGTGGTGCAGCTTGCAACACACTGAGCATGTGCCGCTTGTTATTGGTATGAACACGTCTTTTTCTGTTCTGGTCCTACTTACTTAAATAAATTGTCAGGCCATTGAGGGCAAGAAATGATTTTATACCATTTTGTATGACCAGGAATTAGCACAAAACAGCTCTAAAATATCAGAAAGCTACTGAATTGTCCCTTTATTCCCAAGTTGAACTGCTAAAGGTAGCATTTATGATGTGTACAAGTCTTATTTTATGCGTCTGTCCCTGCTTCCATCTGTTTGTGGAACCATCCAAGTATCCTAATCTGTAGCTCAGTACTTAGCTCCTAGGAGCTGCTCAATAAATATTGTTGAGGAACCAAGTTCTTGCTGATGCTGAGGACCACACCAAGGTTAACTTTCTTTTTTAAATTTCATTTTCTACCTCTGCATGCCATCTTGAACTTCAATATTCAATTTGAAAATGATTTCAGCAATGTAAGTAAGTAAATACAACCCAATGTAATTATTTATCCCTGCTAATTTTGTTTTAGCTTTCTCTGGACCTCTATCACACAGAAGATGATATTTACAAACTGTCACTGGTGCTGGAACCCAGAAATTCTAAATCGGTAGGTATTGTTTTCTCTTGAAGGATCAGTGCCGAGCACCATTGTTCATTATTTACAGTAATTGGTCATAAGAATGGTGCTTTGTGTTCTAAAGACTGAAAAATTTAAAAAGTCTTAATTATTACCATTTTATCAATGGAACAGTTTAGCTCTGACAGTTTTAGAATTATTTCTTCATAAAGAGGCTAAGAGAGAGGAAGAACACCATTCCCGTTACTCTGTTTTATTATTGATATTCCATTTGTTGTGTCCCCTCTGAGAATTCACCTGCAAATAGGACCAAAAAGTAAAAAAACACAACATAACAACACAAACAAGAAAACCTCTCATCTTAATATTAAAGATCATTTAGACACTTTCAGGCTTTTAAAAAATTCCATTCAACATAAAATTAGATTTAATCAATTTTAAATACCCTAATCTTAATTCACAAATTTTTCTGCTGATGATTGACTCAGCTCAGAATTTCAACATCACATTAGGTAATGTCTCAGTTAATTGATGGCTGACTTTTAGTAAATAAATAAACTTGATATAATGAGAATAAGGAAATTGAATTACTGAATGTATACTGCTCATTAGTTTTAGTGAGTGGACTTTATTTTTGATATGTTTTGCACTAGTAAAAAAATGTCTGGATGAATTTAAGATTTACAATGAGGATGAGGTTTGCATGTTGAAGGAAAACATATCTGTCTGCTTCTTATAATTATATCTCGAGATCAGTTTGCTGATAAAGATCTCATGTGCTAACTTACCAGCTGAACTACGTAGCATGTTGGCAGTGACAACAGCACCTAAGTTTATTAATACCTACTATAATTCTGACCCATCGGACTGAAAGAGGCAGAATGAAGGTGCGAGCTGGCCCTGGTAGGGGATGTGAGTCTAAGTCAGTTGACCCGGTAGCATCTGTTCTTAAAATAGTGCATATGGTGGCACCGTCAGCACATTCTGATCAGTCCTTCCTGCCAGTCTGCAGAGGCCTGTCTCCTGGGAACACTCTGAGGCAGAGCCATAGGGGATGATACAGTGCAAGCAAATAAAGACCCAGATAGTACGATCAGTCCTTCCTGCCAGTCTGCAGAGGCCTGTCTCCTGGGAACACTCTGAGGCAGAGCCATGGGGGATGATACAGTGCAAGCAAATAAAGACCCAGATAGTACAACTAAGGGAAACCTGTGCAGAAAGCAAGTTCACCAGAGAGGGCCAGAGAGACCTAATGATTAGCAGAAGAGTCAGAGTGATTGTGCATTTTGAGTAAGGTGCAGGCATAAGAACATAAATTTGGCCGCACGCTGGTGCTCATTTACTCCGTGCACCTACTAATTTATCACTAATACCAATTATTAAAGAATCAGATAACTGGTGTTTTATTGTTTTATATATCTTGTATTTTACAAAAATCCATGATGGATTGTTATATAGATGTTTAAGGATGTTTTAATGATATTTGGGGAACTTGGATAGGATTTTTTGATGGGCTGGAAGTGCATTATTTTTTACTGTTTAAAATAATAGAATTTAGGCTGCTTTTAAAAGAAATGCACTATCCAAACATGTATTCAGTTACAGATTAGATCCCATTAACAAAAGATTCTAGTTTTATAAACATTTAAGTGCCACATAAATGTAAAATTTTACTGTATATCTATTTATTAATATATTTATTTATTTATTAGTATACACAATTGTCTTTCTCAGTGTCCCTCGTGCTAGTTGCTCAAGGCCCCAGTTAAAGTTGCAAATGTGTGTTTTCTGTCAGCAGCCTACCTCTCCTACAACGCCCAACAAGCCTGTGGTGCCCCTGGAGTGGGCATCAGGGGTAATGCCAAAGCCGGACCCCACGGTCATCAACAAGCACATAAGGAAATTAGTTGAGGTAAGTGGTTGAGGGAGAATAAACGCAGAGTACTGGAAGGTTCTTTTCTCTTTCCAGAACATTCTGTGATTGCCCAGGAATTAGATGGAGTCCATGAAAACAGCCCTCTGGCTGGTAGGAGCACTTTAGCAGACACTTAGCTCTACCTGCCATTGGCCTCTGGGGGAGAATCCACCAGAAAAGCCCCTCCACTTGTGGTCAGTCTGTTCTCACTTGCCCAAATACTCTCAGCTACTTCCACCTCCTCTCTTTCCCACTCATTCGAGACCTCTGTCATTGCCACCAACCCAAGGGACTGTTTGGGGATCAGAATCACTCATGAAAAACCCACAGGGGTCCCAATAAAATGCCCCATAAATGGGTTACCCTAGGGGAGGAAAAAATCCTGTTAAGTTGATAGTTTCTTCTGCTGTACGTATTTGGGGGTATGTGATACTGCAGCATGATGCCATTGGGTCAAAAAAATCTCACGTAAGACAAGGCTCTGCCAGAGTTTTCCACATAGAAAGAAGGAGAAAATGGAAACATCTCAAGCACTGGAAAGTGTGGTTCCTGATGAAACTTCTACTTTAATGAGACATAATGTGCTTTTTGCTGAGAAAAGATGCTTAAAGAAAAAGAAAGAATGTTCTACATCTTGGGTAAAGCAGGGAACTCTGAGATGCCAAAAGAAAAATTCTATGGAATGTGTGAGGCAGGAAGGAAAAGATTAGAAAGGGCGGTGCTGAGTGGATAATCGGTGAAGGAAGGGGCTGAGAAGGTGACAGTGTCCCGCAGAGGCCTGCGATGATGGGGGAGTAACAGACCCAGCTTGGAGGCAGGGAAGGTGGGGAAAGGATCCGGGGGCCTCAGGGAACGCCAGCTCCGAGCTGCAGCTCAGGAGGGTCTGGGATCAGGACATGGGGGGCAGAGCTAGTCCACCTCCCGTGGTCATTCTGCAGGCTGACCTTCTCTGCGCCCCATTCGTGGGGGGGGGGGGTCTCCATTTCTCCCTCTCTCCTTCTCCCTCCTCCTCCATCCTCTCTCCTTCCCTTCCCCCCAATTCCAGTTTCATGGGGAAGGTTGGCACAGTTTGGATAAATTGCCGACCATTGGTTTAATCAAATGAAAGACTGGGTTTTACTATGAATTTTTATACTACATTTTATTCCATCTTGTGCTCTCGTGATGAATATGGATGTTAGACTCTAAATGGTAGGCACTCCAAAATAGTTAAACTTTTAAGCAATTTTGATTATGGATAAGTATGGATATTGGGACTTGAAAAAATGTAATGTTTTGTGATTTTGTACAATTCATTTATCTATGGGTAAACTTGCAATGAGTGCTAAACACCCATTTTAATCACATTTTTTTTTG